TCCGGTACCTACATCTCTACGAAAAAAAAAAACCTAAAGAAACACTGAGACAATGCTATGTTTCAGGAACAACAGGAAGTTTGTACACCCTTAGCCTGCATCATTCATTTGTATGCCAGATCTCTGAAAGGAGTTTGTAAAACCTGTTTGACTGAGCTCCTGGTACTGGGGCCTGCAGATGGGGAGAAAGGGAAGGATTCCAACCCCAACCTCAGGACTAGATTCAGTGTGTGGGTTCCGGTGCTGACTGGCTGACTTGAATCCTGGTTCCCTCACTTCCTCGGTAAATGCACCTCAGTTATGTCATCTGTAAAATGGGCACAGGTAACCTTACCTCTCACTTAGGGTAGCTGTGGGAGTTGAAAAGAGCTAGTTGAGCATGCAATTAAGTTCTACAGATATTAGCTAGTAGCACTATCTTGGGAAGTTTTCCTAATTTCTCTAGGAAGGCTAGACTTGTGGCTAATTCTTCCTGACTCACAGGAGTGTGGTACGGTACTGATGAGACAGCACCTGTTCTGTGTGTAGCATAGAGCCTGGAACACTTAGCAGGTACTGAACCAAAGTCAGGTGTGTGTTTTCCCATGAATGGGCAGAAGTGGAGCTTGCAAATACTTTTTTGCAAGAAGTAGCCATTATCACTGAGTTGCTAATGAGTTAAAGAGAAAAGAATCCCCATTACTGAATAGAGAGACATTACACTCAATAACCAATGAGTCAGGGTACTGTATGGGTGTAATGATTGGGGGACTACATGACAGATAAATTCTACAGCGAACCCAGCAACCCAGAGCATCAGGCCGCACTTTTCCATGCCAGGGTGCCATCTTCTCAGGCTGCAGAGACACAAGAAGATGCTGTTCTCACAGTGCCAGATCACAGTCCTTGCTGGAAGGGTCTATTAGCACCACGAACTTGCTCTGTTCTAACAGCCTGTGCTTATCCTTCTCTAGTGATGATTTAATGCTTCAAGCCTCTGAGATCAGGGCCAAAAATAAAATGGTGGGGAAATCAGACACAGCGCTAGACACCAGCAATATATGTAGGAAACAGGAGCATTTGTTCTGTCCATTTTCAAGAGTCTTTTTTTTTTTTTTCCTTTATGACCTTATGGCACGTGGTTGAGACATGGAAGCTTCCAGGAGATTCCAGGGTGGAATAAAGGTGTTTCCATAAGTAACACCACAAATATAATTCATTTTACTATTGATCACTGGGAATATGGCAGTGAACAGAACAGACAAAACATCCTTGCCCCCTTGGAGCTGGCATTCCAGTGGGGTGGAGGGTTTGGGCCAAAGAACAACAAAAGATGAAATGGCATTTGTCTCCACTGTGTTCTTCTCTAATAACAGGCACTAGGTGAAGTTCTGCTGATGATTGTGTAAACTGAGCCTCTTGCACAATCCCAGTGCAAATCACACTGTGGACAATGTCAGTGGCCCTCCCTAGAGTCATCCATCACCTAACCTGTTTGACTGTAAACTACAGCCCTAAAGATACAGGGTAGGAGCTAGTGTTGGGTTATACTGAGATGAATACCCAGTGCCTCAAATGAGAAACGAAAACATACGTAGAACAAAAGGTGCTACCGGTGGGCCCTGCTCTCCGCTTGCATTGGTCTGAGTATCTAACAACAACTGCAGCATCCATCATCTACCGGGAAGTGACAGTGTATCACAGCCTGTGTCAGGTCACACAGATAACAGGAATTAGAATCAAGTCATCATGATTAAGCAATTAAAGAGACTCTCTTATTAAACAAAGACCATGGCTAAATATTGAAATTGGGAAAAGGGCTTTTCCTCTCATGTCCTTTGGTTCTACCATTTTTTTTTTTTTTTTTTAGAGAGATGGGGTCTCTTTATGTTGACCAGGCTGGACTCAAACTCCTGGCCTCAAGCCCTCCTCCCGCCTGAGCCTCCAGAGTAGCTGGGACTACAGGTGTGTGCCACTATGCCTGTCTTAGTCCCACTTTTAATTCTCCTAGAAACATTTCCACCCTACCTCCTCTCCCTTTCTCCTTCCCTCCTCTCTCTCCCTCTCAAATTCTCCCCATACTCAAACCTACCTCATATGCTGTTTCCAACATGAAACAAAAGCCCCAGTGATGCATAAAACAAACCCTTGTGCATGTCACTCATCCTTGGATTTTTGTAACATCCTCTGCTGGTACCTGAAATCCAGTGGAGGCTCAAAGACTCTTTTTAGTTTGAGAGAATAACAAGCAGAGAACTTTTTTGGAACATGTCTTATCCAATTATGTATTTTTTTTAAAACCCATGACTTTGAATTATGATTCTAGATACTGATATTTATATTTTTTCAGCCCCAAGTTTCTTGTATCATTAGAACTAAGTTTAGTTCTAACAGAGTCTCAAACTGACAGCAGCGTACCCACAGTAGAAGTGTCCTGCTCTCTCATGTATAAATCTGAAGGGAAGAAATCTAGAGCTAATGGGAGACTTCTGCAGGTCAAGTCCCCAGAGGCCAAGGTTCCTTCCAGATTTTGGCCCTGCCTTCCTTAGGATGTGGCCCAGGTTCATGTAATCCAAGTTGACTGCCAGGACTGTCACCATGCTAGTCACCTTCCAACCAGCAGGAAGGAGAAAGAAACAACAAATGAAAACAAACAAATAAATAAACAAGGGTCTGAGCTGGCTGTCTTTTTAGGAAAGATCTTATAATGTACTGGCCAAAGCTTAGCCATATGGCCAAATCTAGTGACAAGGGAGGCCATAGTCTTTATTCTCAGGGACTATATGTCTAACTCAAATGGTGTATATGTGCTTTTTCGTGTTTTCTGTTCTGATTCTTCCTTCTCTGAAATGAGGAAGCTAGTCTGGCTAGGAACTTGCCATGAGGGTATAGCAGCAGGAACCCTCATTTATATTCCAAACCAAGCCCTCATTTATATCCCAAACCTAGCTCTGGTAGAAAGCTCAGTGTTTGGTGCCATTGAATGTTGGCTAGGTTATTCATTTGTATCAGTTATTAATAAAGCAGTGGCCTGCTTCCTGCTTGGCGGGTAATCCTTATGTGAAGAGCTCCCTCTGTTAGGACCCTTTAAGGGAGAAGAGGTGAATGGCAAAGCATCATGATCTCAAGCTTTGCACCATTAGCCCATAATTGAAACCTCATCCCCACCTCTAATCGGCCCTACATTGTGTAAGGTGCCGTATAGAGCTGCTGTTATTCATTCATCACAAAATCCGCATATGATTTTGTTATCCCCACGTTACAGAAGAGGAAGCAGAGATGCTGAAGGTAGACTGTTTTTGTCAAGCTCACTGTGCTCTCTCAGAAGAGGCAGACCCCAGGCTCCAAAGTCAGTCTCTTGACTTCAGCCACTAATTTAACTCCAGCTACATTTTATCCCCTCTTCTCTCATTTTGCCCTTGTTTTAACTTCTTCATGAAATTACATATTTTTGCATTTCTTTTAATCTCACTTTATTGTTCTTGTTTTTATTGTCATTTTTATAATCCCATTAAATTCTTACCAGAGCAATGAAAAACATGAATTGTCCCGTATAATTATGGATGCCTATGTCTTCCCCACTGAACTCTGAGTTCTCTGAATTCCGTGACTGGGCCTTTCTTTCTGCAACCTCGGTACCTCCTCCAAGCCTTGACACATGGTTGGCCCTCAGTCCATACTGGAAAGAAGGACACAGTTCCACCTCCTCCTCCTTCTCCAGACCTAGCCAGCAAGTTGGAATTCCAGTCCCTGGTGGGCCAGTCATTGGTTTGTTGAGCAATCTCTGGCTGGTCGAGGATGGGTTTTCTTTGATCTGTCTGGGTGATCTTCGGGGACTAATGAAGCCAAGCTGGGCCAGCAGATTTGGTCAGCATCTGGGACCATGGTCCCATATGGTAATTGGAACATGATTCCAAAGGAACTGTGTCCATCATGCTTGGACCTATCATTTCATTATGCTGACTGAGCTTCCAGAATATTGCAACCCCTGACTTATCACACCATGTCTGTGTGTGGGAGAGTCTTTCATCATTGTTTCCCATGGTGTCCAGTCTGGGTATCTCAAAATAACTTGCCTTTATTGGCTGTTGTTCAATAAGTCTTAATCTGTACTCATTCATTTGATCTTGGCAATAACCTCTTGAGCTAGAAACTAATATTATCTGCCTGTTATGGAGGAGAAGACCAACCCATGTAATGAAGGCCGTTAGCTTTCTCAAGGGCACACAGTGGCAGAGCTGCAGCTCAAATTCCAGTGTTCCAGCGCCAGAACCCGGACTCTTAACCACTGCACTATATGGAGGCAACCAAAACATGGTAGCCACACAGGTGTAGAGCATACTGTCGTGGTCAGCATGCTTCCTCGCAATGTAACATTGACCATATGGGAGGCACAAATGACCAACATGTGGGGCTTTCTTGACCAGTGTTGTGCTACTCTGAAATGATAGAAGATGTGAAGTTGGTAGTCAACTGTAGTGTTTTGACTTAGACACACTCAGGTCTGGATTTTAGCTCTGTAACTGGATGAGGTACATCTTTCAAGCTATCTCTCCACCTTCTAATGCCACCTTAACTGAGTCCTTCACCCACAGTGATCAATCCAGGCCATATTTTATCATATGACCCCATCCACCCACAGCCTTAGATATGTGACCAGGATTAAACACTTGACAGAAGGTAAGCCAATAGAAATTTTGTGCCCAGGATTCTGAAAGGGAGAGTTGCTCTATTTATCTATTTAGATGTCTTTTTTTTTTTTTTTTTGACAGGGTCTTGTTCTGTCACACAAGCTGTGGAGTGCAGCGACGTAATCACAGCTCATGGCAGCCTCAAACTTCTGAGCTCAAGGGATCTTCCTGCCTCATCCCCCTGAAGAGCTGGGACCATAGGTACAAACCACAATGTCCACCTAATCTTGTTATTATTTATAGTGACAGGATCTTGCTATGTTGCCCAGGCTGGTCCTAAACTCCTGGGCTCAAGTGATCCTCCTGCCTCACCCTCTCAAGGTGCTGGGATTACAGGCATGAGCCACTGTGTGTTTCTTTTTTTGTGTTTTAATCTTTGATATTAAAGTTGGTGGTGGTCATCTTTGATCACTCTATACATGAGAACAAGAAAGCTACGAAGCTAAGGGGCAGATAAGAGAGAAAACGTAAGTCACATTTTTCTAGCTGTTCATTCCTACCCCTTCCCAAAATCCACCTGCCTCTCTGTCTTTGGTAGACCATCTAGTGCTTTATTTTTCCCTTGAGGTAGCCTCTGGATTTTATTACTTGTAACCGAAAAGACACAACCTATTTGCTCCACCGAGAACATAAGTTTCTCAGCTTTTTGCAATGTTAGCTCCTTATTTAATTCAGCTTTTAAAGTTTTGCCTCAAATCCACCATTTACATGGAGTTCTTAAAGCACTGTAGTTACTTAATAATATTTAACAGTGAATGGATAAATGAAATCTTACTAATACCTAATGTTACTTTGAGAAAATTCATTCACATCTCTTAACCTCAGTTTCCTCAACTGTGAAACAGAAGAATAGAGAGCCAACCTCAACAAGGCAGCTGCGGAGACTGAAAATAAGGTGTGCAAGGTGCCTGGCAGGGAGGAAGCACTCAGCGAACTGCAGCCAATGGTGACAATGGTGCTGCAGGCATCCCCAGTGATAGGCATTAATTCCTGTCCCAGGTAATGTCCTCTTTCTATGTCTTGGCTTGAACCTCCAGCAGGGTAAGACTGTGGAAAAAGGAATAATCTGAAATTAGATTTGCCCCTATGATTCCCAAATCAGAATCCGTTTTCATTTGATGTCTCTATGCCCTGAGGAGAGCAGCTGTGCTGGGGATTAAATAAGAAGGACAGATCTGTCTTCTAAAGAAAGGAGAATTTTCCATACTGGTCTGTCAAGATATTTGCTTTCCCACTGTTTGTCTGGGTTGGATCCCAGATTCGCTGTCACACTGGCCTCTTCCCTTGCAATAACCAGAGATCATATTAAGCGTCCACTCATGGAATTGAGAAGAGAGCTAGAAATGCATTAGTGTCAAGATCTCCAGGGTGCATCTAAAATAAATATGATTCCTCTCTTCCCACTCCTCACACCATATGCGGGGGACACTCAGTGTTTATTTTTCAGCTGCGCCAGCCAGTCTGGAAGAGGACACCATGGAAATGGAAGAAAAAGGATCAGGGTGGTGTAACATATCACTGGGGGAAGTTTAGGGCCCATCACTCAACAAATAACAAGTCAACAACCCCTGTCGCTTGGATATCCCCTGTGAAAGCTGCATCACCCTGTTTCACAATAACTTTAATCTGACTGTGTAAATTCAAGAAGTTCCCATGGCTTGTAAATGACTGGCACAAAGTGGCCCGTTAAAATAATTCAGGCTCTTTGCAAAGCAAAAAAAAAACCTGGGGGCAGCTTTAAAATAAACCACACTGCATAAGTCACCAATATGTTAGATGTTGGTGGAAACCAGCAAACTAAATCTAACTTATATTGTGAGGCCATACACAATTTTTTTTTCTCTAATCAGCCTGCTTCCTCTCATGGGTGATTGGAGCTAATTTTTATCATGTGGTAGAAAAGACACAATGGCATTAACTTAATGTAGAGTTACCTTGTAGTACATTATGTAAATTTGGGCAAGTAATTTTTACGTGAAACTCAGATTGCCCATCTAGAAAATGAGAAAATTGGACAGCAGGTAGGAGAATATATATTTGGCTCACAGGTCATAACTCTCTATTGTCGCATCCACAACAGACATCACTGGTCAATCATTTTATTTATTTTTCCCATTGAACCCGGATGAGTTCTCAGGATCTATCTCAGCCGAGAGTTTCAGGGAGCCACTACCCACTGATAAAAGATAGACTTTGAGAAGAAGCGTCTCTGTCATTCCTACAGCAGATGATTCTTGAACGTTCTTTGCATTGCACAAGCACTGTGTCATGTGGGCAATTGGACATACCACCTCCACCCTACATAAATTTGCAGAGGCACTTCTTACCTTCATATCTTCAACCAAACTCAGTAAAGCTGCCTTTGAAATAAGGTCATTAGGAGGTAAGATTTCCAAATAATAATTTGCACTCCAGTCTCAAGCTTTTTTGTTTGTTTTTTAGTCGTCAAATTGCTCATCCCATGAAAGCTTCAGGAGGAGATGTAACTAATCGCATGGGAGAACTACATGGAGATGGTCTCAGAGCAATTCATAGGACAGTTCTGAATTGTCAAGATCTGCCTGGATCCAGAAGACCCGGAAGCTTTACCAAACTTATACATGAATTTCTCCACAGACCTCAGCTCAGCACTACCGACTTGGTAGTGACTCTTTTTTTTTTTTTTTTTCAGATGACCAATGAAAGCATCAGTCTGCCTCTCCAAAGTTCTCAGAAAGAATATCAAAATTGTGGCTAGGTCTGAGAAAGTCTTTATACCATGTCATGGGATTGGTAAATCCATCGTAGCACTGGCTCATCCATCAAGGCTGACATATGGCAGGGTAACGCTTCCCTAAGCATTTCGCTTTGGTGAAAGAGAAACGCTGGTCCCTACGAGAAAAGAATATGAGACTGACCCAGAGTCCCATTCATGTTTGATGCTACTAGACACAGCTGTTCCTGGCTTCAGGGCATCTATCACATCTATGACCTTTTCTCCAGCAACCCCAGTGATAAAGTTGATGAAACTCGAATCCCCATAGAAGAACGGTGGCTGGCACTATACTTTGGGGACACAAGTTGTGAAACTCTCAGTGGCCCAACATCCAAATTTCTATTGTGCAGAATCTTCTCTCATTTTGGAAAATGCCTTACAAAGTTGGGATGTTGGGACAAGGCTCATGGTGATGACACAGGCAGGTTTTTTTCTTGGAGTGGGGACAAATATTTTGAATCCTGCTTGCTTTTTATTTTGTCTAATGCACACATAAAACTCAGAGTGATGTTACCTGGGATATTGCACATCAAGCACTTAGCACAGTGTCTGGCAGGTGGAAAGGGCTCAGTAATGGGAGATACTGAGTGGATAATTACAATAACTTCTTAAGTAGGCTTCCTGCCTCTAACTTTAATCTTCTCTGTTCCTCCCTCTACTCTAAGCAAGAGTGAAGATGATGACGATGACGATGATGATGATAAGGGTAGTAATGGGTTTCCCGTTATCAAGCACCCACTGCGTGCCAGTAAGTGTTTGCTTGCACCACCTCATTCAATCCTTTCAATGGTTATAAATATTATTATGCCGATGTGAACACTGCAGAGAAGGAGGCACAGAGAGGTTGTATTCACTTGCTAAAGTCTTGCAGCTTGTAACTGTATGAGCCAGGATTTGAACCCCACCCCTCCTCTTAAGCACTTTACTATGCTGTCTTTCATTCACCCATCCAATTATTATTTATTGAGGGCCTACTACACTCTTAGTAGACGGTCTACCCTGTTCAAGCCTGGTATAGACTGAGTGGTGTTAACTATAAGGTAGAAATTATCGTTACTAATTATTATTTTTATTTAGAGAATTTTGCCTCATAAGGGAGGCTTAATGATTATATTTGTCCTGAAAAGTGTAGCCAGAGAGTATGATATGAAAGGATGGACATTGCATTAGGACCCATGAGTCCTGGTTTCTAGTTCCAGCTCTGATCCCCACTCACTGTGCTACATGAAGCAGGGCATTTCCCCAATCTGGGCTCCAGGTATCATGGGTTATCTCTCAACTCAGCTGTTACAGGTCCCCTTCCATCTAGAGGAGAGCATCGAAGCCAGGAAAAACTAAGCTTCCCTAAACCTGCAGTGCTTTTCTTTGTGGAGTCAAACTCCAAGTAGCAAATGTAACACCTTGATGCTGTGTAAACTGGCACATACACACAGCTTCCACATGGTGATGACTATCAAAACAAGCTTTTGCCTGCCCCACGGGGTCAGCCTCCCTTCTGAAAATCAAGCAGCTGACTGAGTCCAGGTCCAAGTCCCAGTGGGATTGAGAGCCCAGAGCAAAGCATGCACTTACATTCCATGATGATGACGCTCAGTGGTGAATGAACCAGCTTCTTGGCAGGAAGGAAGCTCCTACAGGTTGAGGTGATCCTCCTAGCAATGTGTTTATTTGACAGCCTAAGGCAGCAAAAATTCACAGAGAAGAGAAAAGAGAGAAGAAAAGGGCATAAAAGAAAGGTTATTTAAGAACATCAGGATCCTCTCTGGCCAGCCAAACACTCATAAAACTATAGCAGAAGATCATATAAACACATTGTGAAAAAATAAGGTAATCAGAGACTAAAAAGGTCCTAGAGAGGTATTAAGGCCAGGAAACATGTCCTTTCTCTATCTTAGTACTTAGGCTCATTAATTTTTATTTAATCTACTTGGCACATAATAAATACTCATGAAATATTTGTGAAATGAATGAACTACAGGAAGAAATCATTGTTGACTATGGCTGCCAATGACGGTGTCACAGGCTAAATGGGTTGTGGGAGATGAGTAGAATTTGAATTGCTAGAAAAAGAAAAGAATTCAGGAAGACCATCAATTTTAACAAAGGTCCCCATGAGAGAACAAACTTGACTTGCTCTGTTGGGATTTAAATTATTCAAACGAGGCTAGACTATTTTGCAGACAATTTCTCTGGAATTTTAGTGATTCAATATCATAAAGGTTGACTTCTTACTTGTGTTGTATGTCCAGCAGGTAATGTAAGGGGGCTCTGCTCCACATAGCCATTCAAGGATCCAGGCTGATGGCAGGATCCATTGACTACCTAGTCTTAGCTGCATCATCTGCAATATTAGTCCTCCATGGTCACCACAGAAGGGGAAGAGAGCTCATGGAGAACCCACATCTGATTTTGTGTGCTTTGGCATGTGAATGACATGTATTCCCTCTTCTCACAGCCCACTGGACAGAATTGGAGACATGGCTCCACCTGACTCTAGTAGACTGGGATATACAAAGAACCCATGGCTCTGCTTCATAGCAGTTATTAAAAGAGCAACCTGCTGGAGAGGTAAACACATTTTAGGTAAGGTAGAAACATAATTAAGTATTTGTAGCTTTGCTAGGACAATGCATGACCTAGAAGTATCTCCAATAACATAGGAAAATTCCTTCTATGGTGTGCTAACATTTGTCAATGTATTAAGAAAAGAAATCTTCATTCTTTGCATCTTTATGATTTCAAAGCTGTTAGAAAAGGACTCCAGTCTTTTGAGTCCATAGCCTCTTCTCAATTATATGTGAGTGAATTCAGGTGCCTGGAAAAATTTAATTCTTAGGACAGGAAGAGATTCTAAACTTACATAGAGCTGGGTCCAAATTCCAGCTCCACCACCCTCCTTGAGGCCCTTAATCTTTATCTCTGCATTCACTCATTCAGTTAATATTTACTATGCACTAGCGCATTAATCAAGAAAGATAAAAGGAGAATTTTCTGATGTAATTCTTATCCTCAGTAAGCTTTCAGACTATTGGATGACAACTAAATGAAATGGACTGATACAATTAATAATAATGTTGTTAAAATGTCTGTACTACCCAAAGCTATCTATAGTTTCAATACCATCCTATTAAAATCCCAATGGCATTTTTTTTGCAGAAATAGAAAACAAATTCTAAAATTCTTATGGAACCACAAGTTACCCAGAAACCAAAGCACTCATCACACCTTCCTAATTTGAAAATCTGTTTCAAAGCTACAGGCATTAAAACAATATAGCACTGGCATAAAGACAGACATGTAGACCAATGAAACAAATAGTGAGCCCGGGAATAAACTTGTGAATAAATAGTCAGTTGGTATTTGACAAGGGTCCCAAGAATACATATAGAGAAAGGGTATTCTGTCCAATAAATGGTGTTAGTAAAACTGGATATCCATGTGCAAAAGAATGAAAGTGGATCCTTATCTTACCCCATACACAAAAACAAACCTAAAATGAATTAAATATTTAAATTAAGATCTGAGGCTATAAATATCCTAGCCTATAAAAATCCTAGGAAAAAATGTGAAAAAGTATCCTTGATATTGACGTTGGCAATGATTCCTTGGATATGGCACCAAAAACACAAGCAACAAAAGCAAAAACAGACAAATTGGACTATATCTAACTAAAAAGTTTCTTCACAGAACAAAAAAACTTCAAAATGATAATACAACTAACAGAATGGGAGAAAATGTTTGCAAACCAAAACTGTATGTACAATTAAAGGTTGATCTCCAAAAGATATAAGAAACTCCTACAATTCGATAGGAGAGAGGCAGAGAGGAGAGGGAGGAGGGAACGAAGGAAGGAAAGAAGGAAAGAAGGAAGGAAGGAAGGAAGGAAGGAAGGAAGGAAGGAAGGAAGGAAAGAAAGAAAGAAAGAAAGAAAGAAAGAGAAAGAAAGAAAGAAAGAAAGGAAAGAAAGAAAGAAAGAAAGGAAGGAAGAAAGAAAGAAAAGAAAGAGAAAGGAAGGAAGGAAGAGAAAAGAAGAGAGGAAGCAAAGAAATAAAGAAGAAAGGAAGGGAAGAAGGGAAGAAGAAAAGAAGAAAGGAAAGAAGGAAGTAAAGAAGAACCAGATTTTTCAAGGGGTAAAAGACTTGAATAGACATTTTCCCAAAGAAAACATACCAATGACCAACATGTATGAAAAGATGCTCAACATTATCAGAGAAATGCACATCAAAACCACAATGAGATCTCACCTCATACCTGTTAGGATGGCTACTGTCTTAGAAAGATAGGTTTTGGTGGTGATGTGGAAGAAAGAGAACTCTTGTATAATTTTGGTCAGAATGTAAACTGGTGCAGCCACTATGTAAAACAGTGTAGAGGTTGCTCAAAAAGTTAAAAATAGGTCATCATGGCTGGGCATAGTGGCTCACACCTGTAATTCCAGCAGTTTGGGAGGCCAAGGCAGGTGGATCACTTGAGGCCAGGAGTTTGAGTCCAGCCCAAGCAACATGGTGAGACTCCGTCTCTACTAAAAATTAAAAAATTAGCTGGGCGTGGTGGCACATGCCTGTAATCCCAGCTACTTGGGAGGCTGAGGCAGGAGAATCGCTTGAATTCAGGAGGTGGAGGTTACAGTGAGCTGAGATGGTGCCACTGCACTCCAGCCTGGGTGACAGAGCGAGACTGTCTCTAAAGAAATAAATAATAAATAAATAAATAAAAATAGATCATTATATAATCCAGAAATCCCACTTCTGGGTGTATATCCAAAGGAATTGAAATCAGAATTGCATTATTCACAATAGCCAAGACATGAGAGCAACCTAAATGTCCATTGACAGATAAATGGATAAAGAAAATGTGGTATATACATATAATGAATTGTTACTCAGCCTTGAAAAGCGAGAAAATCCTGCCATTTGAAACAATGTGGATGAACCCGGAGGATATTATGGTGAGTGAAATGAGCCAGGCACAGAAGGACAAGTACTAGATGAACCCATTTCTATGAAGAATCTAAAATAGTCAAGCTTACAGAAGCAGAGAGCAGAGTGGTGGTTGCCAAGCCTACAGGGAGGGTGAAATGGAGAGATATTGGTCAAGTGATACAAAGTTTTGATTATGTCAGATAAATAAGTCCTAGATATCCAGAGAACAACATAGTGGCTATAGTTAACCATATTGCATACTAAAAATATGCTAGAAGTGTAGATCTTACATTGTCCTCTTATCACAGCAATAATAACCACATTAAACAAAGAGGACAGAAGGAAACTTTTGGAGGTGAGGGAAATGATTATGGTGTTGATTGTGGTGATAGCTTCACAGGTATACACTTATCTCCAGACTCATCCAGTGGTTCGCATTAAATATTCACAGCTTTTACATGTGAATCATATCTCAGGAATTTGACTTAAAAATGGACTGACAATAAAGTAAGAAAGACAGAAGTTCAATTTAAAGGGAAAATTCTGGTTCCTCAGAATTGCTGAGATTCTTGAAATGGGAAAAGGCAATGAGCCTCCTCACTTCAAAGGACATTAGAGATATTTTTAATGACAGTATTTTCAGTCTCAGGATTCTATTCCCAGCATTGGTCCACCCAATCTCCTCCTTGCTAACTCTTTTTTTTTTTTTTTTTTTTTTGAAACGGAGTCTTGCTCTGTCACCCAGGCTGCAGTGCAGTGGCATGATCTTGGCTCACTGCAATCTCTGCCTTCTGGGTTCAAGCAATTCTCCTAGCTCAGCCACTGAATAGCTGGGACTACAGGTACGCCACCACACCCAGCTAATTTTTGTATTTTTTGTAAAGACAGAGTTCCCCATGTTGACCAGGCTAGTCTTGAACTCCCGACCTTAAGAGATCCACCTGCCTCAGCCTCCCAGAGTGCTGGAATTACAGGCATGAGCCACTGCGCCCAGCCAAAGACTGTTAATTTTTTTTTTGCTTGTTTTATTTTTATTCAAGATAAAAGTTTAAACAAATGGAGTAATGATAGCTTTTCTAGAAAAACATGAACATCATTCTTTGATAATGAAAATGTCTTTACTATTAAAGAAACACTGAACGCTTTCACACTGTTAGTGGGGGTGTAAATTAGTTTAACCATTGTGGAAGACAGTGTGGCGATTCCTCGAGGATCTAGAACCAGAAATACAATTTGACCCAGCAATCCCATCACTGGGTATACCCAAAGGATTATAAATCATTCTACTATAAAGACACATGCACATGTATGTTTATTGCAGCACTGTTCATAATAGCAAAGACTTGGAACCAACCCAAATGCCCATCAATGATCGACTGGATAAGGAAAATGTGGCACATATACACCATGGAATACCATAGAGCCATAAAAAAGGATGAGTTCATGTCCTTTGTAGGGTCATGGATGAAGCTACATGGATGGAAACCATCGTTCTCTGCAAACCAACACAGGAACAGAAAACGAAACACCACATGTTCTCACTCATTAGTGGGAGTTGAACAATAAGAACATATGGACACAGGCAGGGGAACATCACACACCAGGGCCTGTCAGGGGGTGGGTAGCTAGGGGGCAGATAGCATTAGGAGAAATACCTAATGTAGATGATGGGTTGATGGGTGCTGCAAACCACCATGGCATGTGTATACTTATGTAACAAACCTGCATGTTCTGCACAGGTATCCCAGAACTTA